ATAGTTGAGTATGCCTCTTCCAGTTTTATTCAGTTCCAGTTTTGTCATTTTCTGTGTACTTGATCAATATGTTCTGTAGGAAACATATTTCTATGACAGAGATGAATGCTTAATGACTCCAACTGGAGGTAAGAAAACCCATGAGTTTATGACAGAGTACATGTGATCAGTTCATGCAGCATTTGTTTTCCATGTATACTGTAATAAAGTTGCAGACTGCTTCGTCAGAAGTAGTCGGGGCAGGGAATAATGCACCCCATTTGCCACTCTACGTCGGTTATTTGTAATTGTATTTATCTAGAGATAGTCGGCATGCTCATATATACCGGTAGACAAAGGAGAAAGAGACAGAGAGAGACAGACATACAGACAGAAACACAGATGAACAGATGGACAGACAGAGAGAGAAAGAGAAAAAGAAAAAGAAAGTGAGTGATAAAGAAAATGAAGCCAGAATTTACACTTAGGGTGCAGAATCAGCAAGGACATTCTTACCCAGCTCAAGTTCACACTACCACAAGAACGTATGGAGCGGTGGAGAATTGTGGCAAACCACACATGAAGGGATTGCAGTACCAGAATGAACACGGGATGAAGTTATCAGTCCTCTTGCGACTTGAACAGACACAGCACTTTGATATGCTTCTTTTGTCGACATAGCTCTTGCTTCAAACTGCGTATGTACAGCGCTTCCAGAGAGGGCACGCACACGCGTGTGCGCACACACACACACACGCACACACTACTACTACTACTATTGACAGCTGCCAGAAATGGCCACGCCGCTCCCCAAAGGGAGGTACTGTCAGAGAGGTTAGGGGAGAGGTAGGCAGTGCTTCAAATGGCGCTCCAGGTCCTGTCGCCTCCGAAACTGGCGACGCACACACACACACACACACACACACACACACACACACACACACACACACACACACACACACACAAGAGTATGTACAGCGCTTCCAGAGGGGCACGCACACACACACATACACACACACACACACACACGAGCGTGCCCACGCGAGCCAGGGTGCGCATGCACATACACACACATGCATACACACACACACACACGCACACACACACACACACACACACACACACACACACACACACATATGAGCCAGCGCACACGCACACATACACACACACACACACACACACACACACACACACACACACACACATATGAGCCAGTGCACACGCACGCACACAGAACCTTCCAAAGTGTCCCCTCTAAGAGGTGCGAGCAAAGTCCCATTTAGAAGAACTTTTTTGAACTTTGCTCCCGGACTATGTTGATGATGAGGCCATTACAAAAGTTTTCTGAACTGATAAGGGAACTGTGTACCTTTATCATTTCAGATAACTTTTGTAATAATCTGCTTTGCAGAATGATCCGAAAACTCCTATGCGCCGTCATGCTGTTAGTTTGCACTAGTATAGATTTGACAAGCCAACAGGCAACAGCAAGAGTGCATAAACCAGAGTTTGTGTGTGTGCATCCATATTGCATAAAACCAAGAGTACATAACCCCCCAGAGTGTGCAACGCCTGGTCCAGCTCTGCATAGGGTCTTGGTCGAGCGGAATCGGATCTTGGGGTCATAATACCGTACACTAGGCATCTGAGCGGAACCCGGGGAGTCACGGGTACTCTCCGATTAAAAACAATGGTGCCTTGCCTCGAGACCGGCCTTGCGCTGGTATGGAGTGCACGCATGACATCAGAAGATCCAATTACGATCGACCAAGACCCAATGCAGAGCTGGATCAGGCGTTGCACACTCTGGGGGGTTATGTACTCTTGATAAAACCAATGACGCGGTGATGTTTTTTAGTCTACGTCATCTGAATCATGAATCATAGAATGTGGTCTTTGGGTCGTTCATAAATGACGGATTTTTCATTGAATAGGGAACAGAAAGATGACGAACAATGGAGGAACTGAAAAAGAAAATGTACGAAAATGGGAAGGAACTAGTAAAAAAGTGAAATAATTAGATAATAAGGTGCATCTAGCTAATAGATTTGAACTCGGATGTTGAGTTAAAGTAATCATGGATAAAAACAAAGGAGAAAATGTTACGAGTTATGATTAAAATAAATTAAATCAAATATAGTCATCGAGTGCTACAAAATCGCACAAAACTGACAAGGAAATTTTGCCTCATTCCGTGCTGCGGCCCACAGTTAATTGGGAACTCGTGGCCTGGCACGAGGGAAACATGGATGCAGTGAATGGAATTTTTGTCTTTGACCACATTGTGGGTCGCTCTGATCTACTTACCTCCTATCGCTTTATGAGCTGCATCTGTGCCTTGATCCTAGAGGGTGGTGGTGTTCCTGCCTTGATCCTTGAGGGTGGTGGTGTTCCTGCTTTGATCCTTGAGGGTGGTGGCATTCCTGCGGATGCGAACAACTAGGCGTCCAGCCAAGCCTCACGTGAACCGTGAATTTTTTTACCGTATGCCGCTATAAAAAATATCAGATTATGAGATTTTAAGGACATGTTGTGTGATTTTGTCCATAGGGCCTACTTTGTACAACAAATTTCAGAACTATCACCTGCTGCAATCTTCCATAGCTTCCCCAATTTGTGTTCGCATAAAAGTCATTGTGAGCATGGTGAAATAACAATAATGTCGCTGTTTTGCAGCTTATTGCGTGTCAAGTCACACCCTTACTCAGGAGGAAAGAGAAAAGGCTATAGGGGGTATTTGGGCAAATTCCTGCTGTAGAACCTCCTTTCAATTCGGAAATGTGGTATGTCATTCCAAAAAACATGGAAAAAGAAGAAGAAAAAGTCGCTCATGACGGGCTCGAACCCATGAGCCGCAGAAAGTAATAATGTCTCCACTCATGATCTGCACAGAAGGATGCTGAGAAGACCAGTTTGTGACACCCAATTGAGCTACCTTAAAAATCCGTCCTTATGCAAAGTTGTGTATGACCCACTGCCCCCCTCCTCTCTTTCCCATTACTTGTTTCTATTTCCCCCGTTCTTGTACCAATTAGAAATTTTTTAACAAACTGCGTCCATTTAAGTACCTTATTTTTACGGGTTGTAAGTCGACCCCGGTTATAGGTGGACCCCCGTATCCGGAGGTCTCAATTCTGCGTTTTAAAGTGTTCACCCAAAGAAGCACTACAAACCACCTCCTGCTACTAACACATCAACAAATCATGTAAACATGTCAACATTACTTAATTATAAGTTTCCGTGCATGGCACGGTCAGTGGAGTTAGCAACACACCAACATCCTTGCCATAAGCAACACTTGTACATGCATAACATGCATGTACTTCGAATTCCCGCGTTTCCGCACGGGACTGTGCGGAGCATGCGCATTACTCCAATTCGCCATGCTGTTGTTTCTTGCTCTTCGCTTTGCTGTGCTGACGGTAAAATTGTTTGACAATCGCAGCCAGTTTCTGATCACCACCACCCACCCCATCATCTCTCACTAGCATTCCATTCGAAACCATCCCGAAAGGGAGAACAGTAAGGATCGTGAGTCAGGCCGGCATTGAGCCAAGTGCGCCTATAATAGCTCGCAAGTGCATCATTTAAGCCATCCCGTAAGGGAGAACAGTAGGGATCGTGGGTCAGGCCGGCATTGAGCCAAGTGCGCCTACATTCGCCCACAAGTGCATCCCTACTGCATGCTCGTGTATTGACACATCTGAATTCAACAGTAGGGATCGTGGGTCCGGCCGGCATTGAGCCAAGTGTGCCTACGTTCGCCCACAAGTGCATCCCTACTGCATGCTCGTGTATTGACACATCTGAATTCAACAGTAGGGATCGTGGGTCAGGCCGGCATTGAGCCAAGTGCGCCTACATTCGCCCACAAGTGCATCCCTACTGCATGCTCGTGTATTGACACGTTTGAATTCTCGCCGGGCGATTGTTGCCCCAGTTAGTGTCGGCATTGGCCATACTAACGCACAGCGGTGCTTGCAATACTAGCTCTGGCATTGGACCAGAATATTGCATTACTGTATGCGGCAATTGTTGCCTATCTCCTGGTAATACAACGCGTAATAGCTCCCAAACAGGTCGGCTTGTTGTGTGGTTGGTAATGGAGGGTATAACGTACCAATCCTTGAAAAAAATGCCAATAAACTGGCAACAATGTGTACACATGGTGCACTTGTGCATGCAGTGCAGATCATTTTTTTGTAAGATACAGATAGTTCCCGGTTATAAGTCGAATCCCGGTTGTGAGTCTACCCCCACCCTTTCTCCGTCTATTTTAAGTCGTAAAAGGTCGACTTACAACCGGAAAAATACGGTATAATATAAAAGTAAGATCTCACGTCTGTGTGTGGGGTACAAGTTGGTCAGTTGAACTACTGCCCATGCGTGTTCTACGTCATAGTGAAAGACTGCTATTTGCAACAATCCATCCTACACTACTCAACATAGTGCACCAGGTGTTAGAATAAATGCGAAAAAAATAATATTCCGCCCGCGTTCCTGACCAGCCACCCGCTGTTTTTGCATCAGGACGGAATTTTCCCGAAAATTACGGGCGACCCTGGCATAACTGGAAAATACTGCTCTTCAGTTTACTAGTATATGAATATCTCTAAAGTTTAAGTTTATGACGGGATTTATGCCATTAGATACTGAACATAAATTCATAATGGAGTACAGTAAACAAAATAACATGCAAACTGGAACAGTAGCACAGTCCCTTAAAGTACTGCTGGTGGAGCTGCCCTTGAAAAGAGTTGTTCATCAGGATCTTATAAAATACAGCAATACTAACTTGCATTGAGACAAGGGCAATGTGTTGTGTTCATTTTGTTTGCAGTGCCGGAACAGTGGGAAGACTTTCTACAAGCCTTAGCAAGTGGAAAAAGCTGACGACCAGTTCCGGCCATTGTTAGCATTCCTGTAGTGTTACACCACGCATACACATGCATGCATATGTCAACACACCTATACACAATTATTATGCATGACTGTAAGAGGTAATAATCAGTACGCATTTCACACGATGTAACCTGATGCCTTGATTTCATTTCGTGTTGGAACTTCTCTGTACTTTGATGCTACTTGCATGAAGCTAATCTTGGCCTAAGGATATGTTGGTAGGAAATATTGATAAGGAAACTTAGCATTGATTGAATTGAAGCATGCACGATTTCAGGTTTGTCTATTATGACGGTTTACCTCTTCTGGTGGTCCATCAGGTTTGTTGCCTTTGATTTATTGTCAATGTCGCTGCATTCAGCTTCAACAAAGTTGATGGTTTATTACTATTCGAGTGAGCATTCGTACAACACATAGTGCTTATAGTAGATGCATTTCCATTGATATCTGTGAAGGAGTATTTTCGTCGTGCATTATTGCATTTTGCCTCCAAGTCTGTTAATCAGTAATCGCAAACCTGTAATTTCGTTGATTAATGTCGCTGCACTCAGCTAGAACGCAGTTGGTTGTCCATTGATCGGAGAGAGCATTCTTACAGCACATAGTGCCTATCGTAGATGTAATTCCCCTGAAATCTGTGAAGAAGTATATGCTCTGTGCGCTGTTACATTTTGCCTCCGAGTACGTTAGTTTGTCATTAGGAGTCTATACTTTTGTTGATACAATAATATCGTTGCACTCAGCAAGAATAATTGATTTTCATCCATATTGGAGTGAGCATTCTTACAACACGTGGTGCCTATCGTAGATTCAATTCCACTGGTATCTGTGAATAAGTATAATTCTCAATGCACTATTACATTTCGCCTCCAAGTCTGTTGCTAGTAGTTTGCTATAAAAAAATCGGGTACTAGTACTTCGAGATTTATGTGAGCGGTTGTGTTGTGGTTTATAGGGAGTTTCCCTATCATTAGTTTTATTCCAAGCAACTCGTACATGGCTGGGGCAGCCAATAGGGAGGTTTCGCTCTACGTAATTACGTATGAAAATCCGTATGTCGTCCACGCCGGGGAGCGAGGGCCGCTTTCATAAGTAAAACCAAGAGTACATGAAAACCAGAGTGTGCAGCTCGGATGGGTGGCTGTCACGGCGGAATTCCGTGATTACATCATTTTAGTGATGTAGTGCGTACAAGCAGGATTCAAGCAGGTCTCTTTCTGCACAACTGCAGCTCAGTTGTACGCACTACGCCATTTCCCGCCTCAGATCTGGGCCAAATATGATGTAATCACGGAATTTCGCCGTGACAGACACCCATAGCAGAAAAGGCCCCAAGCTGCACACTCTGGTTTTCATGTACTCTTGGTAAAACTCTCTACGGATTTCCGTTGGAAAGCTTGTTTCCTACGTTACGGCCTCCGTAGGACTTTTTGAAATATTTTTCGCATTTTCAGGACTTGTCCGTGGCAAAGTTCAAGCCGCGCGAAACACAAGGTAGATCTACACACACCGTACATCACTTGCAAAATACGATGGAAAACGCGGTTTCGGTTCGTGGTGCATGCGGTGGGCGCATGCAGCCAACACGTCTCCAAAGCAACAAGGCATGTTTAGCAGTCGTGGAGAAATCACGTAGAGCAAAACCCAACAGCTCTGAATTTCACGTTTAAAAATTACGTGCAGTTTCTACGTTATTTTCTTACGTAATTCCGTGGAGCGAAACCTCCCTATTGATCACTTTGGAGTGGTGATTGCAGGGTTTTTATAACCAACCATGGCGTATAACCCTAATGGGGTATTCACACGACAGGCACTTGCACGTTTTACAGGGAGTGACATACGAGAAAAGTGACTGTGTGGATTCACACAGCTGCAATCAACGACAGGCACGTTTGCATTTTTGAATGTTTCACCGTGGGTATTTCAAATTTTCAAAACACGCACATGATGATTACCATGCTCTAAAAGAGCCGCGTAAAAATCGAGTCTTGTTTCGCGCTTTTTGGTGTAACTAGAGAGTGCACGTTTTTTGCCTTTTTTTTCAAAACGTGGTGCAAATCTCACGTAACATGTAATTTTTAGAGGTTAAGTTACACGTGCGATGTGACGTGGAATTTTGCCTGGCAGGATTCGGGTTTAGTTCGCACACATATCAAATCTTCCAACAAAATCGATAAAACTACGGAAATAATCTACGTGGAGATAAAAGTTTAACTGGGAAGGTTCTGCTCTACGTTTTGGGAACGCGACGCAAAGAATCACGCGAACTTTCTTCGCGTTTCCGTAACGTAAAGAAATGCTGTTCTGCTCTACGTTTCACCAAGAGTACATAACCCCCCAGAGTGTGCAATTAATTGCGCAACTCCACTATGTATGGGTGCTGTCCCGACAGAATTTCAAGTTGACGTCATTTTGATGATGCAATGCGCACTGTACACGGATTATCAGACGAATCCGGAACCTGTGGTCGACCGAAGCCGATCGATCCTGTACAAATTATTGCAAAGAAAAACGTGTGATGCGTTGACACCCGTACACATGTTGTAAATCACTGCTGCAAGGAGCATTGCGTCATAAATAATGACGTCAACTTGAAATTCTGTCGGGACAACAGGGTATGGGGGAGTTGCACACTCTGGGGGGTTATGTACTCTTGGTTTCACCTAGAGAAGTCACGTGGAATGTGTACTGGGAATTTCCCCTTCCATATTTGGCAGTTTTCTGCATGCAGTTGATCGATACCCAGCAAATCCGTACGCATTTTCTCTGCGTGTGCCACAACGTAGAGAACCCCATCTCTGCGTAGAAATCTGGAGCCAAAACACGCGAAGCCGTAGACTCTAACCCAGACACCTGCTCTCTACGTGATTTCTCTACGTTTCACGTATAGCAGAACCTCCCTATTATCACTCCCCCCCCCCCTCTCGTGACCGCGGACTCCTGCATATACACTCACACAATAACCACACAACTGTTTAGGGATAGCGCGTTTCTTGTATTATGCCAAACTTGACACGCTGAGTCCAGCTTGACTCAGATGAGTTCCTGACTGCTATTTACTGCTCTAACATGAAGCCGTGCCTGGAGGAAGCGAAAGAGCGAAAACAAAACAAAATTCTGGCCTTCTGCAAGCAATAGCAAGTAATGAGTGCCGGCTGTGTAAAGTCGCACAACCATGAAGTCGACCGGATGATGGTGGGTACCGCCGGGTGTCCGGCACACATCTTGCTCTGCTGCTCCACCTGCGCATACCTTAATTATACGGTGGTGCGCTTACGGCGGGCTGCCTGGGCCCCAGATGCCTCCCTGACGCGCCACGGGGTGCAGTCGAAGCACCTGTATCACTTCGGTGATCCAAATGCGAATGCAGCCTTGCCGTCGCCCGCCGGCCTGCCGCCTACGCGACCAGCCTGAGAGTGGGCCTGCCGCATTTGGCGCTTCTAAACGCTGGGATCCGGTAGACAGCTCACTGGGCTGCCAAATACGTGACTGGCTTGAGGACAGTTCCATACTGCACGGCAGGGCGCCCAGCTCAGGTCGCACGCCGTAGCGGCGTGAGCTGGGTGCGGTGAGGGTTGGTGATAACTACAGTTTCCTCCTTCCTCCTCCGGAAACTTCCATTTATCACTCCCCCTCACATGACCGCGGACTCCTGCATATACACTCACACAATAACCACACACCTACAAAAGAAAGAAAAAGAGAAAGGGTCCAGCTGGCAGCAAGCAGAACACTTGGCGTTTTTAAATCTTAGAAACACGTTCAGGACTTTTTTTGTTTTTTAAGAACTTTAGCTCTAGGTTTACATTTTGGTATTTTTTAGCTTTTCGTTTTTTTCTTGTTGTTTCTTCCATGGTTGCTCCATTTCGCCTCTGACGTCGCAGTGGTAACCGAAACAAAGTTCACAACAGAGAAGGTCCAAGTGTCGGACACGATGTTCCCGGGCTATAGCCCTCCATTCAGGCTTGACCGCACAGCACACGGTGGTGGAGTTGCAATCTGGGTGCGATCTACTCTCCCAGCCTTGATCATCGATGAACTGGCCGCCCCCCAGCATGAAGTCATGTGGGTATCCATCCAGCTCAGCGCCGGGCACAAGATTGTCCTGGGAGGTGTCTACCGGCCGGGTTCTTGCGGGCCCGGTGACCTCTCACTTATCCATCATCTCGACGACACCCTTCCTTTGGCCCGTCAACACGGCGCTAGTCTCATTCTTGCTGGGGACTTTAACGTTCACAACCGTGCCTGGCTAAACAGCTCTAAGACCACACCGGCGGGCGAAGCACTTGAGGACACTTGTGCCGCGCACCTCCTTACGCAGCATGTTCAGACTCCTACTCGTGGCGACAATACCCTTGACCTCGTGATGTCTACCTTCAACTCCCCAGTATTGACAACCGCCACACCCCCTCTTGGGCTGTCTGACCACGTTATCGTTCTATCCGACTTCGTAGGCATATTACCTTGCCACGAGCCTGCAGCAAAGCGAACTGTCTGGCGGTACAAGAGCGCAGACTGGCATCGCCTCCGAGCTTTCCTTCGCAACTCTCCATGGCACGACATCATAACTGATGACCCGGACACCTCCTGTGTGCGGGTAACCTCCACTATCAGAGGCGCAATAGCCAAGGGACTTACCACGAGGCCGAGTGATCCAAAATGGTGGACACCGGAATGTACAGCTGCTATGAGGGCAAAGGACAAACGTTGGCGTCCCTGGAGAAAACACCCGAACGATCTTTCACTCAAAAAAGCTTTCCTCCGCTCCGTTACCACAGCCGTCAACATCCTAAGGCGATCCCAGGAAGCTAAAGAGGTCAGTATCCGTCACAGCCTGTCCACGGGCTCACTCAAGGACAAATAATGGTGGACCAAGTTAAAGTATGCTAGTGGGGACGGACGTAACACGGACATTCCTCTCATTGTTGATGCGGGCGGACGGGAGTTGGCAACTAGCCATGAGAAATCGGAGGCCTTTGCCACCTTCTTCTCCAGGAAGTGCAGTGTCACTGGCCAGGATCTTACTTCTGACGACTTACCTGACCTTGTTGCAACCGGAGCACCGGCACTCGCAGCCGTTCATTTTCGCCCCGCCACTGTCTACCGTCTGCTAGCGCGACTCGACATATCAAAGGCGACTGGTCGTGACGGCATTTCAGCCCGGGTCCTGAAAGAATGTGCCAAAGAACTTGCGAAGCCTTTGTCCCAGCTATTCGCTCTCTGTTTCAGGTGCGGAGTTCAACCAGAATCTTGGAAGACAGCTAACGTGGTACCGATCCACAAACGGTCTTCGCGCTCTCTTCTGAAGAACTACCGCCCAGTCTCGTTATTATGCATAATGTCCAAAGTTGTTGTTGTTGTTGTTGTTTATTTATTTTACATCGCAAGGCAAACGGGCAGTTCTGCCTACTATTATGGAAGCGATGACAACCAGTAAGAAGAGTCAGAAATGAAGAGAAAAATAAATGAAAATAAAAATACGAAAATGGAAGTAGCAATCAGGGGAGGCAGGCTCAAGACGAGCAGAAAAAAAGTAATGGAAACTATTGTCAATCGCCAACTGATGAACCATCTTGAGCGCCAGCAGCTCCTCACTCCCCACCAGTTTGGGTTCCGTAGAGGTCTCGGCACGGCAGACGCACTACAGGCGCTTCATAACGCCTGGGTGGACATCGTTGGCCAAGGTGGCGCGGCACGAATTCTCGCAGTCGATATAGCCGGGGCCTTTGACCGGGTCTCCCACGAGGGCCTCCTCTACAAGGTCCGGCAGCTCGGCATTACTGGCACTCTCCATAGCTGGCTATCGTCTTATCTTGACCGCCGTTCACTCCAGTGCTTAGTCGGCGGTCAGATTTCTTCTCTCTACCCAATCTCTGCAGGGGTGCCCCAAGGCAGTATATTGGGCCCTACG